GTCCCAGAGCACACTGGGACAGCGACTGAGACTGGGCCTGGTGATGCACACCTGTAATCCCAGCGCTTGGGAGGCTGAAAACAGGAGAATCATTATGAGTCCGATCTACATAGTGAGATTCTGTAGACCCTGTACTAAACACATTTAAAGAATGAATAAATAAATACATAAAAATAAAGGAGGCTCAGTGAAGCATACAGTGAAGATAAAAAAAAATAGAAATAGATACCGTAACAATAGAAGAGCTGCTGAGATGGCATGACTCACTGATGCTAAGCATATCTGAGACCATGATGAGTTCAAGCAAGCAGCTGAAAATCCGGATGAGTAAAATTAAACATCAGCAGCACCAAATCCGCAAGTGTGGATGGGAAGGATGAGACAACACGAAATCACACTACCAAGCCATCAGCCCAGCATCACTGCCAACCAGGTAGTCTGGGAAATCTGTTCATGCAGAACAATGCAGAAAAAACCCCAACCTTTGATTTGTCATTCCTCCCACAAACTGTGGGAGACAGTTCCAAGAGAAGAGAATTGAGGTCCAAGCTGCTGACAGTTGGGAAAAGAATGGCTTCCCGAAGGCAGGCGATCTCTAATATTTGACCAATGGGGAGGGTGGGAATCCAAGCCAGAGGCCCTTGTTAGTGGCGCCCTCTGGTGAGCAGCAGTGGGAGGAGCAAATTCTCTCAAAGATTGCTTAGTTACGACCCCTTGTCCTGGGAGGCTAAGGCTAGCAGTTAGGACAAAGGGACAAGGCAAGGCAAGCCACTTTGTGTGACAGCAGACAGAACAAAAAGTACATTTAGAATGGTTATACACCTCAAAGAGCAGATCTTGGAAGTTTCAGGTACCAAATATAGAACAGCTAAAGTGGTTGAAGAAATGAAGGTTGTAATAGTAAGGATGTGTTCTCTCCCAAAGCACAATCATAAGCAGACAGGGATGCAAAAATAAGTCTTGTAAGAATTTGGAAAAAATTTCTCCATTGACTTACCTTCTGAGGGTGGTTGAATAGAAAATTAGACATTGATGAAGAGAAAATTAATAAACTGGAAAGTGTATCACAGTAATCCTCCAGAACATAAAAAGTGGAAAAAGATAAAAAATATGTGAAAACAGGGCTGGGGAGATGGCTCAGTACAGTAAGCGCTTCCCTGGCAAGCGAAAGGGCCTGAGTTCAATCCCCGGTTCAAAAAAAAAAAAAAAAAGTGTGAAAACAATGATAAGAGACTAGAGGATTAAGGTGGATGTCTTTTCCCGGCACTCTGGAGGCTGAAGCAGGGGAATCGCACCAGCCCAGCCTGGACACAGTGTAAGGGCTCTGGGCTCAATCCCATGGAAGAGAGAGAATAGAACGAGAAAATGTAACATATCCATTTGGACTCTCAGAAGAATAGAAGCATGAAGAGAATAAGAGGCAATATTCGAAAAGAAATTGGTTGTTATTGTTCCAGAACTATACGCAAAGCTACAAAACACATCTTAAAAAAAAAAATTAACCTTCAACTACCAAATTTAACCTTTGGTAGTATACCAAAATCAAAAGTCGTTAAAAGGAGCCAGGGAGAAAGGACAGCTAACAATAAAGTCTTTCTAGTCCAAGGTACTAAAGAAAATAAGTCATAATAAAACAAAAAATCTCCACACAGAGCAAATACCAGGTCCAAAGAATTTTCCAATGAGTTCTGCAAAGCTTCAGAGAACTGGCCCATTCTGCCTTCCCAACCAGTTCTATGAGGCCAGGATTACTGAGAAGAGTACAATAAGGAAATTTGTGGGATAACCTAACTCATAAATACACTTACCAAAAACCCTATATGAAACACTGGTAATAGTGTATAAAAAGATAAAACAAACTTTGAAGAAAAAAAATTTTTTAAATGGATCTGGTTGTTACAGGGTTTCACTATGCAGCTCAGACTCATGGTGATCCTCCTGTTTTCAGCCTCCCCAGCGCTGGGATTATAGTGTCTGCAACTATGCCTGGACCCTGTGGCCGCTCATCGTGCCCTGGGGGCGGGGCTGGCATGTGGTAGTCAAACCTCAGTCCCTGTGCTTGCCTAAGCAGGTGTTTTAGTTCTTGGAGCTATCTTGCCGGCCCTAATCCTTGAAATTTGATAGTGATTTAATTTGAGGAAGTCCATAAGTTTCTGGGAGAACTGGGATTGAACTCAGGAACCTACACTTCCAAGGAAGCACTTATCCTACTGAGCCATCTCCCCGGCCCCCATAAGTTTCATTATTTGGAATTTGATTTGCTTTCTTTTTTTTTTTTTTGGTGGAACTGGGGATTGAACTCAGGCCCTTGCATGCTCGATTTGCTTTCTTTTTGAGACAAAGTCTTGCTACGTAGTCCAGGCCAGCCTTGAACTTGCTGTGAAGCACAAATAGCTTCAAATTTGCAATTCTGTCTCTGAGTAGTGGGATTATGGGCATGTGCCAGAATGCTACATTAACAGATTAAAGGATAAAAACCAAATGATTTCAATAGATGCCAAAAAAGTTATTTGACAAAATTCAACCTCTGATTTTTATTAAAGCAACAAAAAACTTGGAATAAAAAAGGAGTTCCTTGACCTGATTAATTTAGCACGCCACAGTCATCCATCATTTTAAGTTGGGAGGTGTTGGAAGCTTTTCTTTTGATCATAATTATGAGGAGAATGTTGCTAATACTAATCCTTTTTTTTTTAATTTTTATTTATTTGTGTGTGTGTGTGTGT